ATACTTCCATGCAGGCAATTGTAGTCCAATCTTAGAGTTTATTATTTTAAACTAACTATCCTAGGGGATGCCTGGGTGGCTCAGTCAGTTAGGCGTCTGACTTCGTCTCAGGTCATGATCTCACGGTTCATGGGTTCGAGCCCCACATTGTGTTCCACGCTGACAGCTCAAAGCCTGGAGCTGCTTCAGATTCTGTGTCTCCCTCTCTCTCTGCCCCTCCCCTGCTTGTGCTCTGTCTCTCTCTCAAAAATATAATAAAACATTAGAAAAAAAATTTAAACTATTCTACAAGATTTTAGACTATTAAAATAATGTTTGAAAAGCAACAATTAACATTGAGCATAAAAGAATACATTCATAAAACAGTTCATTTCTGAGGTTCATTGGTACAACTGATTTTGAGAAAATGTCTGCAATTGGCAAGTTCTGGTTCTGGATACCATTCACCTTCTGATGTCACTACCAACTGCTGCCTTTGTCTGTATGCCTCACGGCCAGACTAGGCAAGATAGAAGCTGGTATTGATTAAGGCCCTGACTTCTCTGCCAGGAACCCTACAAACGTATCACATATAAAAGCTGGCCAGAATGGCTGGTGGACTTTCCTCAGAAAGGGCCGTGGCTAAGATAGGTCCTCATGGTGGAATGAACTTGTTTGCAGTCAAAACCCATTTCACATTCATTATCTGGCCTAAACCACACCAAAAAAAAAAAAAAAAAAAAAAAAAATTCCATGAAGAAGTCTTTGGTAGTTCTACATACTTATTTGCTAAATTATCCGAGTATCTCTTGGTGTAGTAGCCATTCAAATATATCACCCATTTTTTATTGGGTTGATTATTTTTTTATTGGTGAGTGTTGAGAGTATTTTTAAAGAAGTAGGGAGGGGCAGAGGGAGAGACAGAGAATCTTTTTTTTTTTTTTAAAGAAAGAATCTTTTTTTTTTTATTTTTTTTAACGTTTTATTTATTCCTAGGAGAGAGAGAGACAGCATGAGCAGGGGAGGGTCAGAGAGAGAGGGAGTCACAGACTGAAACAAGCTCCAGGCTCTGAGCTGGCTGTCAGCACAGAGCCCGACACGGGGCTCGAACCCACGAACCGCGAGATCATGACCTAAGCGAAAGTCGGACGCTTAACCGACTAAGCCACCCAGGCGCCCCGAGAGACAGAGAATCTTAAACAGGCTCCATGTCCAGCACAGAGCCCAACGCCGGGGCTTGATCTAACAACTGTGCGGAAATTAAGAGTCGGACATATAACCAACTGAGCCACCCAGGCACCCCTGAGAGTATTTAAATTTTTTTTTGAAAAAAAATACGTATAGATTCTGGATACAAGTCCTTTATCAGATATCTGATTTGCAAACATCTTCTCCAAGTCTGTGGCTTATTCTTTTCATTTTTTAAGAGTGTTTTCTGGGGGCACCTGGGTGGCTCAGTCGGTTAAGCGTCCAACTTCGGCTCAGGTCATGATCTCACGGTTTGTAGGTTTGAGCACCACGTCGGGCCCTGTGCTGACAGCTAGCTCAGAGCCTGGAGCCTGCTTCAGATTCTGTGTCTCCCTCTCTCTCTGACCCTTCCCTGCTCCTGCTGTCTGTCTCTGTCTCTCCCTCTCTCAGAAATAAATAAAACATTAAAAAAAAATTTGTGAGAGTGTTTTCTGAACAAGAGCTGTATCAGATGTATCTGCATACCTGAATGTGCCTACTGACACCCAGAGTCCCTAAATGACAACTTTGTCAACTGCCAAAAATACCGCACAGGTATATGCTGTTACCATGTATCTACACGTCGGTCTCATTGGGCAGTATTTATGTATTTATATGCAACCCAAATGCTTGCCAGGGCCTTCTAACTGCTTAAGAGCGAGACAGAACTGGGACAATTGGGTGGCTCTCTTGGTTAAACGTCTGACTTCAGCTCAGATCATGATCTCACAGTTCGTCAGTTCAAGCCCCACAATGGGCTCTGGGCTCACAGCTCAGAGCCTGGAGCCTGCTTCGGAGTCTGTGTCTCCCTCTCTCTCTCTGCTCCTCTCCACCTTGCGCTCTGTGTCTCTCTCTCTCAAAAATAAATAAACCTTAAAAAAAAAAAACAGTTTTGAAAAAAGGAGCCAGATAAAACTGCCCACCTCCTGGGACGCCTGGATGGCTCTAGGCCATCTGACTTCTCAGTCTTTTTCCTCGCCAGGAACAGACATACAGAAACACACTATTGCCGTTGCACTACCTTTCGTGCTGCTTTTTCCACAGTCTCAAGAGGCTCATCAATATTTTTCTAAAGGAACACTCCCCTTTGGTATCCTGGTGCCAGCTAAAATAATAACTTTACTTCTTCTCTGTAGCTATCTGTTTGCCATGGGCACACACTCCACGCATGTGCTTTGGGGCCACTCTCCCCCGTTCTTATTGGAATTAATGTTATCATTCACTTATTCTCTCCTGGTGATGGACATACTTTTGGTATTTTGAATAGGCTGACACTCTCGGCCATGGCACAGGCATTTATAATTCTGCAGAAGAAGCCTAACCTTCTGGGCTCCCAGCACAAACACAGAACAGACCTTTCCGGGGCTGCCCCAGACTCGGTTTCTGGGCCAGTTTAACGGTAGGCAGAGAAGAGCCCATGACTGAGACGTCTTTGGTAAACCCAGGGCAGAGGAGACCATGGAGGTGGGGGCCCATTGCTGAGAGAGACCTTCATGAGCAGCCTTGCAGCTGTCCCAGCCACTGCGCATCAGTCTGCCTTTCTACATGCCGGTCTTGTCTTTGACTCCCTGGCAAAAGGAAGTAGGTCTGTGGAAGGCTTTTGGCAGAGGTGGGGTGTGGTGTAGCGGAGGGTAAGGAGTTTTGGGGAGAGGGAAGGTTTCTTGAGACAAAGGCAACGGATCCACAAGGGACAGATAACAGCACTTGGTTCCACAGCCGGTGTGTTACCGGCCTTGAGTCAGAAGAGGGAGCCCCAAGTTCATTGTCTGCACTGTACTGCAGTGTCTTCTCTGAAACTCTTGACAGATTTCTCCTCAAGGCTGAATCGTTTTTAAGGGAACCCAACTTCTGGGGGAAAATGCCTAGATACAAAGTCCTGTATGATTCTTCCCTTTCTACATTTTAAAACCTCCACGCATTAGCTTTGTGACCTTGGGGCACTTAACTAAACCTGAGAATTCGTGTCTGGACCTGTAAAACAGCAATAATGTATTTGTCCCCACCTAGGGATGCTTGTGAGGACTAAATCCGATTATATACATAAGGGGGTGCATCGCCTAGATGGGAGCTGCTAATGACAGGAATAGAGGAATCTAAAGTCCCCAGGGGGTTCTGCACAAAGACAGAAAGTCAGCTAATTGGCACAGGCTGGCGAGGTGCCCAAAGAGCTCCTAAGAAAATTTTATTTTCTCGGTGTAAGCCCCGAGAAAAGTTAGTGCACTCTCTGTCTCACCTGAATTTCCCTTTCCCCCATGCTTTTGGGTTTTTCACCTGAAGGAAATGACTCAACCTGCCATGCCTGACTCGGATTTGGCTTCAAGGAATGTGTGCCTTCAGAGATGGGAGCATCAGGAAAAGCAGATAAGGTAGTCCTGGAATCCTGTATGATTGGGGGGGGGGGCGGAGGAAGGGGAGGGCCAGGAGTGAACTTGCTTTTCTGACAAAATGGGGAGAAAACCTAGCCAGATAGCTGAGGTATAAAGCAGAGTTCTTTCTCCCTATGGGGTTTGAGCCCTAGAAGTAGACAGAGACCCCAGCTCCTCTAAGACATCCATACATCTTTTTTTTTTAAGTTTACTTATTTTTGAGAGACAGAGTACAAGCAGAGGAGAAGCAGAGAGAAAGGGAGACACAGAATCTGGAGTAGGATCCAGGCTCCAAGCTGTGAGCACATTGCTCGACCCGGGGCTCAAACCATGGACCGTGAGATCATAACCTGTGCCCAAGTCGGACACTCAACCGACTGAGCCACCCAGGTGCCCCTAGACACCGGTACATCTTAGCTGTCCAGGAGGAGTACAGTAAAAGTACTGCTACTTAACAGTGTCACAGAAATGGCTGCGACCTCCCATCCTTAGCTTGGGGGGGGGGGCACATAAATATTTTTAAATTCTGGGGGGGTGGGGAGGGGGACAAGCAGAGCATCCTGCAAAAGACAGAAATGAGTTTAGGGCAAACACAAGAGCTGAATGAAATATCCCTCTAGCTGCCCTGATAGCCAGTCAGATTCTAACTTCAGGGTCAGAGAGCCTGGAGGCACAGATCAGAAGTAGAGGAGAAGTAGTAGGGCCCCCGTTCTAATTTTCTTTTACATTTATTTATTATTGAGAGACAGAGCACAAGTGGGGGAGGGTCTCGCAGAGAGAGAGGGAGACAGAATCTGAAGCAGGCTCCAGGCTCTGAGCTGTCAGCACAGAGCCCGACGTGGGCCTCGAACTCAAAACTGTGGGATCGTGACTTGAGCCAAAGTCAGACATTTAACTGACTGAGCCACCCAGGCACCCCTGAGCCCTCTGTTCTAATTCCAGAGCCACTTACCTGCCTCTTCCGTTTTAATTCTGAAGAAGGTGAAACCACATTTATTCTCCTGAAAGGTCTACCCCTCCCCTCCCACTGCTACCGCATCATCTATACTCTTATATATTCCACATGGCTTCCTTGGATTTCATATTCCTCGAAGGCAGAGGCCAGAAACTATGCTGTTTTGTGGGCACATTTTGCAAAGAATCCCTAACAGGTGCTCTGTAATTTCGAATACAGCAGTAATTGAATCGAGTTAAGATGAAAACAGCTCCTTTGACTTTCGTTTCATTAAAAAATTTATTTTCCAGGGAAGAAGTTTTAAATAAATAGAAAAATAACTTAATGCATATATTAATAAAACAATTTAAAGTCTTTGTTCTTTCAGACACAGAACATTAGCTGCCAGTCACTTACAGAGTCTCTGTGGGTTGAAGAATCTCTGAAATCGTTGTCAGCATCGTCCATTCCCAGAAGCACAGGCTGGGAGAGCCTCAGTTTTGGAGATGATTGATAAGTCTATCAAGGAAGAAAAAGTTCCTGAGGATTTCTGCTTGGACTACTGTCCAGGCACAGACGCTGTACTCCTTGGCCTTCAGGTACCGCACGATCCTTAAGTAGTATTTCTTCAGGTGCAGAAGGGGCTTATTGTCCCAGGTGAAGTTTTCCTCCTCCAGGATTTCCTCCAGGATCGTTTCCAGACGTTCCTTCTGCCAGTGGAGCGCCACAAGGAGGTTCTCAACAGTGGTCTCATTCCATCCCGTGCTGGACATACTTCTACTGAAAATATCAAAGGTCTTCTGGAACATCTCATGGATGACCAATATGGCTTCCTCCTTCGGGAACTGCTGTGATTTTGTAATCTCTTCAGGGGCCTCGAAGTTCATCCTGTCCTTGAGGCAATTTTTAGAGGTTCCATTCAACTTCAGCAGGAGCCCCTGACACTCCAAACTGCTGCTTCTTAGCTGGAATCTGAGCAGCTTGTAGCTCATGGCAAGAGCTGTGGTGGAGAAACACACCAAGAGAGCGATTTGGAGGGTGCACCTGCCCGTCATGATGCAAATAAGAAGTCTTGCCTGCTACCGTCTGGGCGCTGAAGCAAAGGCTTGTAGAGTCCGCAGTGTGAATGCCCTTCTTCCATGAGTATGGCCTATTTATGCAGGATGGCCCTCTTTCTATTTCACAGGAATTTCCCACTTTCAGTTCTCCCTTTCAGTTTTCCTATGTCATTTAAGTTAGTAGTAGTCTCTAAAACTCTTTTGCTTTAAACTCCATACATTAGGACTAAGATACACAAAGTGTGAGGATTTCTAATGTTTTATATAATTTCAATGAATTCTCAATTACTAAGGGAAAAAAAGAACCCCAATCATTTAGGACTCTACCATCATGGGTGCTTTCTATTTGGCAAAGATTTTTTTAGTTTTATTAGATGGTTTTTTGGGGAGGGGGTCTTTGTGTGAAGAGTTTTCTCTTTTTCTAAGAATTAAGTTGAACTCCCAACTACACTGTCACAAAACAATAAATATATGCAGTTTATCGTTTAAAAAAAGACACCTACCTCTTTTTTTTCTCCTCTGTAAAATAGAATAGCATGAAAACTAAGTTGATCTTAGTATTTTTTGTAGGGCCTTAACCATACACAGCAAGACACCATGTAGCTTTCCTAACCTTATTTACATTTTTTAAATGTCTATTTAGTTTTGAGAGACAGAGTGTGAGTGGGGGAGGGGCAGAGAGAGAGGGAGACACAGAATCCAAAGCAGGCTCCAGGCTCTGAGTTGTCAGCACAGAGCCCGATGTGGGGCTCGATCCCACGAACTGTGAGATCATGACCTGAGCTTAAGTCAGACGCTTAACTGACTGAGCCACCCAGGCGCCCCTAACCTTATTTACTGTTTTATCTGGCAATCTTTCAACTATCCAGAATTTAACCGAAAACTAGAGATTAAACAATATCTCTAAACAGACAAAATGAATGTTATGTGAGCCATACATAAAAGTTTGTGGGCCCCCTAATAGGGTCTTTTGTGACCAATATCGAGGGCCAATGTATCCTTATTCTGTATACTCTTCTAACAAATCTAAACATCTGATTTTCCATTCTCATACAAACAACAATTTAGAAAGAGGTTTAGAAGGAAAATGGGAGGGAAAACAATCAAGCAATCAGAAGATGTTACTGTTGAAACACATGGCTCTATCTCAATATTTCTAAGGCCATTTTCTTTTTGCTAGAGTATAGTAACTGATTTTAATAAGAGAAGAACATTAAAAATTAAATTAATATTTTTATATTCTGCTAAATAAGCAGGAAGGCATATGATACATTTCTAAAGATTTTCTTTTAATGTTTTTATTTATTTCTGAGAGAGAGACACACACACAGCATGAGCAGGAGAGGGTCAGAGAGAAGAGGAGATACAGAATCTGAAGCAGGCTCCAGGCTCTTAGCTAGCTGTCAGCACAGAGCCAATGCGGGGCTCGAACCCACGACCCGTGAGATCATGACCTGAGCCGAACTCTGTCGCTTAACCGACTGAGCCACCCAGGCGCCCCACATTTCTAAAGATTTTAATACAAAAATAATTTGTAATAGTTTTTATATTTAAAATTAATAATTTTGGGGACACCTTGGTGGCTCAGTCAGTTAAGCATCGACATCGGCTCAGGTCATGATCTCGAGGTCTGTGAGTTCAAACCCCACCTCAGGCTCTGTGCTAACAGCTCAGAGCCTGGAGCCTGCTTTGGATTCTGTGTCTTCCTCTCTCTGCCCTTCCCCCATCATGCTCGCTCTCTCTCTCTCTCTCTTTCTCTCAAAAATAATAAATAAACATTTAAACATTCTTAATAAAATAAGATAAAAAATAAGAATAAAGTTAATAACTATTAAGTTTTCAGAAAACCTTGCATTATCTTTCAACCTGAACTTACCAAAATCTCACTGAGTGCAAAGAACTCATCTGAGGTGCTACAGATTATAATCTTCACTTTCATGGATTGTACAGTTAATGAGGGGAGAAGAACATTAATCAAAGAATTACACAGAAGTAAAATGCAATGGTGACGTTACAAAGGAAAGGTTCATAGTACCAGGAGTTCCTATGACATGGGGACATAGGTAGTAGGAGAGGTCAGAGAAGCCTGTGCTGCAATAGTAACTGTGGAGCTGAAATCAAAAGGAAGGCCTGGTGGAGCGGCATGTGCAAAGGCCCTGTGGTGGGAAGAACTTGACCAAAAGTTAAAGGGTAAAGAACTCGACCAAAGGCAAATGTGACCCTCAGGTCAGAGAGTGGTCAGAGAATGGCCTGAGATGAGGTCAAAGGGCAGTTGGGAATCAGATAGCACAGGGCTTGGCTAAGAAGTGTGTGTGTGTGTGTGTGTGTGTGTGAGCGCGCGCGCGCGTGAGAGAGAGAGCACAGGTTTAATTCAAAGAGCAATAGAAGCCCTGGAAAGGTTTTAGGCAAGGTGGAGTAGATTGATTAGATTTGGGGGGAAATTCTCTACAGTAAGCAATAAGTAATGTAGGGAGCATGGAATGGATACAGGCAGAACAGTTAGGAGGCTTGTGAAAATTTTAGACTGTGGAGCTAGTGGTAGAGAATGCATCCTCTCCTTTCCTGACAGCACCAGATTCAAATGTTTGAAGAAATCCGCCATCATTTTTCAGATAGTTGTATCAATTCTGTTGATGATGGTGATTTCTATATACACTTAATGTTCTGGGACATTACTCCTATTGTAACAAATTGAAGTGGAGGCTGGAAGTATCTGGGTAAATGTGGATTTATGAACCAGCAGCAATGATGAGCTCCAGGTTTCCCATCATCGTTTCCTATCTTCTGATCTTTACAATATGCTCAACATATCTCCCAAATATTCCCCAAGCCCTATTATTTCTTCTTAGCTGGCCATATGTAATCAGCTCTCCCCATGAGGGAGTATCTATTGGTGATGTCTCAGTTGTTCCAAAAAAATTTATTTGTGCTTGAACTGTGTTGGTGCAATGCCTTCTAAATGGGATGGAGAGGAAGCAATTTATCTTTCCTTTTAAGTTGGGGGAGTGGGAAAGATACCAGTGATATTCATTCAAATGAATCAGAGTATGGAGAGTTGAAAAGATGTAGCCAACAATCCAAAAATATGGGGACAAGATTCCAGGAAGATGGCCAAGGTGGCAGTATAGTTTTGAATTTCCCTTAGTCCCCCTGCAAAAAACAGGTGCCGCTACTAGATAGAAACCAAAATCCCATTTGACACAGAACTTGTTGACGTGAACCACAGAATGCAAGCCAATGAGGACAAACCATCAAATTCCTTGAAACCTGTCTGGTAGCACCGTCTGTGTGAGAGAAAGCAGGGAAAAGCAATGGACTTGAGAACCTTAAAATAGACAAGAGGTATTTACTGGAATTTTGCCCAAATCAATAGCCGGTAAGTATGAGGGGCCTCAGTAAATTCTGAAAGACATTGGAATAGACTAGGATATAAGTTGTTTTCAAACCAACCAGGCACAGCTCCCATTTGGGAAAGGATCCTACATGGAAGAGAAGCTGCTAGAAGTAGAATCAAATTTGAGCAGGAAAGAAACAACAGAGGCAAGGAAAGAGAAAACCAGACCAGTTTGGGAATGCACAACTCACAAAGCAAGCGGCCATGTTTTTGAACACTTCACAAAAGCAACAGAAGAGGGAGCTGTGTGAAGTTAGGAGAAACTACCAAACCATTCTTCTAGAAGTTTAGGAAAAGTAAGCTCCTATAAAAGGGAGTAACAGAATAGCATTAAGATTGAGACTCATACAAGATGATTATTAGAAAAAAGTGAATGAGGAGTAAATATCTTTGTAAATAATGAAAATATACGAGGAACGCATGCACGCAAAACAGATCAAAATTTTAACGTCATGTTAACAAAGGAGTTTAAAATATTAAGAAATGAGATAAAATACAGTAAATCAGAATTAGGCAAACTCAGAAATAAAATAATATATGTAGGAAAAAATAGAAATAAAAGGAAAAAGTCTCCATTTTGTTGAAAAGATAAGAGTCTCAGGAAACGAGAAGTTTGGGGGAACGCTGGCACTGGTGAAAAACTTTAATCTGGGGGGAAATGTTAGCAACAGTAGATAAAAAATAGTAGATTGGCCAAAGGGAATTATTTTCAGGAAACCAAAGATGGTATAATATGGTATAGTATATATAACATTATATGAAACTGATTAGGAGGTAAAATAACCAAAATCTAGAAAACTTGGTAATTTTTTAAAAATATTGGAGTAAGGAAGACGTTCCTCAGGATAATACATGCACATATATATGAAACTATATAGAGAGAAATTAATATGGCTAGAAACACATTATAAATTTCAAAATGACAAAAAAAAAACACTCAAAGAGGAAGACCAACATTAAAAACATTTCTCACACAATGAGAAAGGGATAATTTTTTTGACATACAAACAGCCTTTAAAATTAATAGAAAGCTATCAAATAGAAAAGTTTGTAAGTAGCCAAATCAGGAGAAGAAATTTAAAGAGCCAATAAAAGATGAAAATGTGCTCAATGTTACTAAGAAATGTAATTCAAACTAGTAACAAGGTAATCATTTTTCATCAATAAGATTTGCAAAGGGCAGGGGGAAACTAAGTTCTCTAGTGTACACTCAAAGGAAATGCAGATTTCTGCCAATATTTGGAGAGTGAGCAAGATTGTTTCTTCAAAAACAGCCAGAATAGGGGTGCCTGGGTGGCTCAGTTGGTTAAACATCCAACTTCAGCTCAGGCCATGATCTCGCCATTCCTGAAGGATTCACACCCCACTTCAGGCTCTGTGCTGACAAGTCAGAGCCTGGAGCCTGCTTTGGATTCTGTGTCTCTCCCTCTCTCTGCCCCTCCCCCGTTTATACTCTCTCTCTTTCAAAAACAAAATTTTTTTTTAAATTAAAAAAAACTGGTTTTTTTGACTTGTGTAACAAAAGGAGGATAGTTTTTCCTATTTGCTTTGTGTGGCTTTCCAGTTTTTCCCAGTGAACCTGTTCTTTCATTATAGAATAACC